TTGCCCGCCCCAGGCAGAGAGCCGGGCAGCCCGCATCCCTGCCGCAGAGGCTCAGTGGGCTCCCTCAGGGTCACATCTCATCCAAGAAACGCGTTCTTTGGGAAAAATCCACCCCCAGTCCTCCCTCACGCCCCCACGGGCCACAGCTCTGGGGTGGGAAGAGGAAGAGAGCAAAACCCGAGGCTCAGAGCAATGCCGGAGCGAGGGTACAGCACAGCCGAGGGGCACGGATCTGCCAGCGCCTGGTAAAACCCACCAGCGAGACCGTAAGAAGCCTCTTCCAGAAACCACTCCTGCTCCGGGAGTGTTGCTTTAAATTCAATGCGTTTCCGCCCAGCGCTTGGGGCTATATTATATAATTCAGGCAGTTTAGGGCAGATTTACAGCTTGGCAGGCTGAGGAAGCCCGACATGCAGGCAAGCAGATAGCCCTCGTTAAAAGTCAGCGGGGATTTGACTTTTTACGGCTGTTTTACCCGTCTTTCCTTCAACAGCAAAGAAACCAGAGGATCGTCCTTGAAAGCCCGCAGTGGCCTTGCTGCTTTAGAGGGGCAGGAGCACAGAGAGCAAAGCCAAGTTTAAAAAAAAAAAAAAAACAACACCAAACCACAAAACAAAAGAGCTTGCAAACGGTTTTAAAATGCAAATGAGCATCTTGAAAGCAATGCCCTGTGAATACACATAAGTTGCGGCCAGAGAAACTGCGCCCTCTGTTCCCTGTCCAAGCTGGAAAAAGATCCCCGACGGGGATAAAAAAGAAAATCTGGATCAAATCTGAGGGCTGAGCCCGCCGGGCAGAGCGAAGCACCACGAGCCAGCTTGGCGAGAATTAAAAGAGAGTTTGTGGGGGCTCGCTTTGGGCGTTGGCAGCGGGGTCCCGATGCGGTTAGAGCCCCTCTGGGGCTCCAAAGCAGCCTCGGGGAAGGCCCCCGCTCCTCCCTGCCTCAGTTACCTGGGATTTATTGAGTCTTTATTAATTTTTTTTTCCGCCTCAGGTCGATGGCTCAAACCAGCGGGAGCTCCCGGGGCTGCAGCTCTCTCTGCACCTCACTGCGGATCCCGGTCCTGCAAGAAAGGGAGGAAAGGAGGATTGGCTGCAGTCCCTCGGCCGGCACCCACCTGGCTCGCAGTCAGCCCCGCGCCGCAGAAGTGCCTGGAAAGCAAACTCCAAAGCTACGGGGAGGGGAATTTCTGCAGCCGGCTCAGGAGACATGAATCACGCCCGCTGCTTCCTTTGGGAAAATTCAGAGACAGGGCCATCTCCCCCCACTCCTTTACGCCTCAGCAGCCTCCAAAGAGCAAACCAACGCCTCCTCCAGCCCAAGGTGGAGAATCAAGGTGCGGCCCCTCGCTCCTCACACCAGCGCTTCAATCTCCCACAGTACAGGGGCAGGACCGGACTCAAAGCAACCCAGCACCTCAAGCAGGGCAAGGAGAGGCCGAGCAAGGCTCTGGACACCTGCCAAAACTCGGTGCTCAGCACCCTGCACCGTGTGTGCCCCCTCCCTGGGCTAACGGGGCTGCCTGCCAGCCCAGGGGTGCAACCACGGCCGGCACGGCCCTGCTGAAGGTGAATTTTCCCCCAGCTCAGCCCTTGGGCAGGGTCCAACCACTGCTGGCTGGCTCCTGCTTTAAAGAGGGCGAAGGAAACGGTTCAGGGACTGCAGAGCAGCTTGAACCAGGCAAAGGGACGGATGGTGCAGGGTCCTCTCGCCTGAGATGTAAATAAAGCAGATTTTTGGCACACAGGAGGAGGTGGAGGCAGGGAGAGGGGTGTCAAATCCAGAGCAAACAGCCTCAATCACCTCATTTGAAGAGTCCCTCAGAGCAGGGAGCCCAACACGGGCATTTGCACTCCCCAGCTCCAGCCATTCCCCAGCTCCTTTCCCAGAGAAAAACATCCTGGGAAACAGGAAAAACATCCCAGCACTTGCTGATCTCCAGCAAGGGACTGGGTGCAAGTTTCACTGCAATAAAACCAGGAAGACTTAAACCCCCTGACCTTGTGGCGGCTCAGGTTTTACCCCACTTTCTTGCTAAACTTATTTTACGCGAGTCTTGCAAATTGGATCCAAGGAGTCGAAAGCGTCCGTAAGGGCCCAGGAGTGAAGCGGTGGCTGGATGTTGGAAGGGAGCACCCAGAGCTCACCCACACCTCGCTCAGGTTCCTCAGGTCTGTTTGGAGGACGATTGCAGCAGCACAAACCCATGCCCTCCCTCTATCTCCCACCTTCCAGGCTGCTCCGGTGACACTGAGACAGAGACATGGGCATCTCGGCATCGCTCAAGCCCTGCCACGGCACCTTCTTGAAGCAAAGGGGCTCTCCAAAGGGTTTTATCCTCAATCTTATTCACCCGGGATGACTAAAGTTAAGAGCTCCGAAGGAGCCCGAGCAACGCTGCTCTCCTGAGAACCCCAGCGCGGTGCTGGCCAGGCCGCTCCACCTCCCACCCGCCTCAAACGCGGAAAACATCATCCACACTCACGCAACGGCCAGCAGAAAGCTCCTGCTCGGCGCTGAGGAGCCCGCAGCCCAGTTGGCAGAAGCACCACAGTTTGCAGCATCTGACTTTCTGCAAAGCACCTCGAAGCTGAAGCAGAATCCGGCATGTGAGCGCAGCACAGCGAGCCCCTGGCATCGCTCGTTTGCTCTTACGAAGAGTGGGAGAAGAAAACGCGTTAGCGAGCCTCAGCTACTTTTATAACCCTGTTTTAGGCCCAACTCCTCCACTCTTGAAGGCTGCGATGCTGCTGACAGGGGGCTTATCTTTTAGCAACACATGTCCATCGCCTGCGGAAAACGCCGCTGCTGCCACTCTTCCAGAGGAATGAGCCACCTGAGCACTGCACAAGCACTTAAATCATGCCCAGGACACCCCACCTCCCTGTTTTTTTAACAGCAAGAGAGCTCACAGTCTTTCTACAGACTCCATGAGAGCCTAGAAAAGGATTTTACTGGCTGACAGGAAGTTTTGATCTACCCAGCCTAATCATGTCTCCAGAAGAGCCCGACGAGACAACAAGGACGGAAGGAAGCGAACGCAGAGAGACTCATCTGCTCCAGCCCTGCACAAACACGCGGCCCCTGCGCATCAGGGGGTGGGTGTTAGCACCTCAAGTGGAGGGAAAGGCAAAGAGGAGCCAGAACTCAAAGTGCACGCTTCCAGGAAAGAGCTCACCCAGAAAACAGAGGGTCAGCTGAGGGTTAGTAGGGAAGGAAAACCCTTAGGAGCGAGCAATGCGCCCTCTCGCAGCTGCAAACTGAGCGCTTGAGGTGGATCAGCACAACCTGGCAAGTTGGCACGATGAAAGAAGACAAAGGCACACTGGAAAAAGAAAACACAAAAGCCTAAAGTCGAGCCAGGTAACTGAAGCCATGGGGACTTCATACAACAATTGGCTGCTGATACGAAGCAACTTCAACAGGCCAAGCAGGGACGGGA